AAATTAAGACATGTGCTTTCCTGGTCACAAATTCTGCTAAAATTATAGAGGAGACATAACATTAAGTGTAGCAGGAGTACCTATTTAAAAGATAGATTAGATTGGTATCATGTAAACAATATCAAATATCCATTGACATATCTTCTTTAAAATGACAGCTTTTACTCCCAGCAGAAGCTGCAGAGCAGAGTTACCTATGACAAGAAGTAAGACACAGAAAAGCTCTATAGCTGTCAATACAAACCTGAGCTACACAAGTGTTAACTATGGAAAAACAGTAATGCCTACAGAAAGGGGATGGTAGGACAAGTAAGGAAAGGTGGCATCTTCCAGAAATAGTAAAATGGATAAAGGAACACTATCACACATTCTCAAACAGAAATCACAAAGAACACAGAGAAAAGACAATAGGACAACTTCTTTTAAAGAAAACAGTAATTAAACCAATAGTCACAGCAAAACAAATCTAACCATTTCACTAGCTAAGATTTCAACCAAAACTAAGTGCTTGTTCTTTCCTTGTATAATTGACTATAACAAAATTACAAAAGCAATACAGTTTAGTACTCTATGCCTAAACATTTAAAAGACATTTAGCATTTAAAAGAAAAATCTTTTAACTGTGTGCATTTTAGCCAAGTTAGACTTGGACTCTTAAGCTTAGAGGCTGAAAGGAAACATATCCTTACTTCCCTGGCACAAAGTACAGAAAACATATCCTTTTGCAGTAAAGCCCAGGTGAAAAACGGACTTCCAAAGTTTTTGCTCCACCCAAATACAACAGGAAAGGATAGATCATCCATCAAGGATTGGCAAGCAGCTTTTTGTTTGGTGTTTGGTTTTTTGGTTTGGTTTGTTTTTTTTTTTAAGAGGGCTACCTTTACAAGAAGAATAAGCAAGTGCTCAGCATATTTTCCTTATTCAAAAAAAAGAAGCATAACTACAAAAAAAAAAAAATCCACACAATCCAAAGACATTTGGAAGACTGAAGAATTGGTATGCACTTGAATTACAATGATCATCTTAAAAATCCAAAGCAGTAATTCCCTTCCAAAAATTCTTGAAGGTAATTAAATGTTACTTAAATCTAGAAGACATTAAAAATATATACTATACCTAAAGGATACTTCTGTTGACTATTTGGAGGTATATTTTCTTTAGCCATGGAGATTAACATTTTGCTAGTCTCAGAAAGCTTCTCTGATTCCTTATTCTGAAAACAAAACAAAAAGTTTTCCTGCATCACAAGGTAAAAGAAATATCACACATAAGAACAAATTTATTATCATAATTATTAGCACTGGAGAAAAGAGAGACTGAAAGTGATGCTGGATTAACACATTAAGCAAGTTATACATTTCACTAATACTACCAAAAAAGAAATTCTCCTCTATAACACTAGAATTATTATTTCAATATATTTCATGTCATTAAATATGTTGACAATATGTGTTGATTTACATCAGAAACCACCCGTGAAAATCCACAATTTTTTCGGTTTACACATATCCCCTCTGTTTTTTTTTATGAGGGCTGATTTGACATACTGCACGCTGCTTGAAACTACAGAAGAGTTACAGCATATCACAGAGCGAGTTTACCACACCTGTTCTCTGGAACTACACTTTCACCATACACCTTAGGACTTTATCAAATGACAGGCTGGAAACATTTTCCTTCTCTTTAAACTCGCTCTGAGCAAAAATAAAGGCAGGCCAACTCCTCACAGCTCCCTAAGAATTAACTTTCTGGAGTGAATGAATGAAATTTTCTGGAGAAAATTATTATAACTAGGTAAAAATATTTATATTACCCACAGAGAGGGAAAGATGAATTCTCAAAACCTTCTGATGAAACAAAAAAGGGAGTGAAAACTCAGTATTATAATTGCTGTTAAAAGCCCAAGCTGTCTGGGGCTTTGTAAGTCAGACAATAGACAAATCAAAACTCCTTTTAAAAGGACTTTATTTAGGTACCACAACACTTAGCTAGCTTGAATTATTTAGATATAGCTTTTTGTCAGGTACTGGCACTATTAAACAATTTAATGACAATCTGCATATTATAAAATCGTTATAGCTTTAGAATTAGGTACTAAAATTTCTAATAAGAAAATAGTGGCAAGAACAGATTTTGTCTAATTAATTGGATTAAGTAATTTGCCTTTTATATTTCCTAGATTCCATAATAGAAATATTGAGGATATTTATACCTTCCATCCCCATCTCAACGCCCATGCTCGAGTGGGCAGATAGCGGATCCCTGCTAGTCAGCTTCCCTAGGGAGGGGGGGAAGGAACAACGATAACTGTTTACAAGAGTTTTCTCCACTTGTAAAATACAAGTTACCGTGTATTCCCAGTGGCAAAGAGGTTTATAAATCTACATAAATACACATACAAAGTATTTAAGCTAGAAATTACTTTGATTAATCTTTAATATATACTTCAACAACATATAGAGTTTTAAGAGCACAGTAAAAGCAAGCTTAAATCAGGTGTTTAAATTCAGAAAAACTATTTAATAGTCTTACCCTCACTTCCATGTAAGGTGGATCATTTTCAAGCTCTGCCTTATCCTGTGCCAACTTGGCCTTCTGATCTTCAATAAATTTGTCTAAATCATCCGCCATCATTTCTAAGGTTACAGAAAAGACATAATGCATTGCCTCTATATCAGAACCTCAAAAATTTAAAGCTCAATTACAGTTGCTTAAGGCATCAGTTAAGTAATATTCAAGTTTCTCCTTCAGAACTACAAGCCTTAAGATGTTTGCTGGGTCACTGAAACACCTGACTCAGGAAACCCATCCACAGATATTACCCGATGTTTCACCAGAGAGAAGATTCAAAGATTCCAGATTTTAAGGCTGATGATATTTATCAAATCTTTTTTTCTAGCTTTTTTTCTAGTTTGGGGTTTTTTTCTAACTGCAAGTCTACCAATGGCCCTTTACTACACACTAGCACAAGCTTATTGTTAGTGAATTATAAAATCAAAATTAGACAATATAAAAAACCAGGATAAAAGAATCATTAGACAAAAAAGTAAAAAAAGTGCAAAATACACATATACTCTAAAATAAGGACCAAATCTGTGCTTTAACTTACTACCATGAGAAGTCTTAAAAATCATCAGGCTTATTCAAAAATCACAAAAAACAAATCACAAAAACCAACAAAGCAAAAAAACCACCCCACAAAACACATGCACAGTGTTTCTGGAGTTGAAGCCTACAGTGGATCATTACCTCCTGTACCAATAAAATAGCAGAGGCAATAGAAGAGCTACAATTCTGCAATAAATGTAAAATGGTGGGTATCAGGCAGCATTGACTTGCAATCAGACAAGCCACTCCTCTGTAAGAAAACATGTACTGAGGAACAGCTGATTACCTCTCTTCTGTTAGTTATTCATTTTGCATATATAAGTGAAAGCCCTTCAGAGCAGAAATTTTAGCATTTTATTTGTGCTATTTATTGTATATTGCTGCTCCTAGATAATCTCATAATTAAAGTCCATCAAATTAATGACAATGGAACTGTACAGAAGTTAAGGCACACATTCAGGCTTTGAGTGTTCTTTGTTAGGACAGTCTTATCAGAACTAAAAATACTGCAAAGCTGCATACTAAGTAAGTAACCATGGAAAGAAGACAGACAAAAAGAAAAAGAGCGACTGCATACAAGCCTACTCATCCTAATCTCCACGCAGCATTTTCACCAACTCCAGTGGAGAAGCTTTGCAAAACCAAGCCTACAGATAAAAAAAAAATATTATATAAATATATATGTTATATTCCACACCTAAAGGAAGCATGAAATTGAGAAGAAAATTATGACCCTCAAATCCCTCATGCTTGACGTATTCCTTAAAATGTATTCCTTTAATTTTATTCTCTTACAGTAATGCCATTTTTTGATGTATAATGTAAAATTATAATATTGTTACAAAGGAGGCAGAATTAGGACAACCTATTTACAACTCCTAGTGGTAATACAGGACAATCAATTCCAAAAATAAATTTCCCCATCTGATTTGTCCTAAATCTTTAATCTCGTTAGTTCTACACACTGATAAAGTATAAAAGAAGCCTAAAAAACTGATGCATTTTATTTAGCCTAGTGTGTTACATAAGAATAATGAAAAAACTGTTCTGAATGGCTGAAACAATTTGTCATACTGAAGAATATAAAAGCTGATCTCATCACCTATTCAGTGCTGCATAGTCAGCAAAGTTACTGCACTGTGAGATGCCTTTCCAGAAGCTCATTTGACTAAAATCTGTATGTCTTAGCTCTATTTACGGTAACATTTATAAACTCTAGGACAGTCAGCACTGGCTGCTTCTCTACCCCTATGAATGGCATTTAGAATAAACTCCTGCTGTCAGAAACATGACTCCTGCACCTTTCACCTTCGTTTCAATTCTTGTCTGAAAAAGCACAAAAAATTCCAGGGTCTCGACGTGCACAATTAATAAACTCTGACTAGAACACCACGATTTTGTCATAACTGTGAAGGCAATTAAACCCCAAAACAACAGACCAACAAGTTGTGCGAGTTACTTCCCCTCGCCGTAAGGGTATACTACTTTTCCGGAACACGTACTATGGTCCAAAAACAACAAAGACGACATTCATTTCGGAAAACCTTCAGCGTCAGGAGAGCAGATTTATTTCTCCAAGCGTTACAGCCCAGGGAAGCGCCCCGGCCCCGGCCTGCGCCGCCCCCACCTCTCCACCTCCCTCCTCGGCAGCATTTCCCAGGCAGCCCCGGGAGCACCGACCCCTCCTCGGGCCAGGTGTGGGGCGCGGTGGCGGGCGGGCGGCCGAGGGCTGTGGGCCGGGCAGGGAGGCGGCACTCCGGCCTCGGCGCCTTTAAGTA